GAGACCATTTCTCTTAAATATCACTCGTGCCTTCCGCACATCACCAACTAACGCCCTCGCAGTTGCAGCTGGAGTCTTGCCTTTACCTATTGCGGTTGAAAAGGACGCAGCTTATCAGTTGATTAGACAACTTGGCTGTTCAGTTCAGTTTGGAGATCACTCTTTCTCCTCCCATGATTATGAAGCAGCAATAAACAGAGAAGATCAACACCCCCCCCTCTATGGTACGGGAGTTAAAGTTAATCTCAAACCGAGTCATCAAGTTTCTCATGCTGATCTGGTCTTTTATACTGATGGCTCTAAATTGGAAGATCAGGTTGGCTGTGCATATATAGCCATACTGCAAGATCAGACAACTCTTCACCAGTGGAAATGCCATCTGTCTTCTTTTAACAGCGTCTTCCAGAGTGAGGCTATTGCTATTCGACAAGCAATACAAACAATCATTAATCATCGATATTCACATTCCTATGTTCTTACCGATAGTCTCTCCACATTGTATGCCATTTTAAATCCTCTGCATTCATCCCCCATTATTGTGGACATTCAAACTAGCTTGTCTCGACATAAAAATCTACACATTTGTTTAGAATGGACAAAAGCTCATGTGGGGAACTACGGTAATGAAACTGTCGATAGGCTTGCTAAAGAAGCAGCACAGAATCACGAGATAACACAGACCTTGACGGTTTCACGCCCAGTATCTAATCTAAAGCGTCACTTACTTCTCACAGCCATCTCTCCTTGTGGCAAAATGCATGGAGTTCGGAGGAAACTGGTCGCCGAGCATTTGCCCATGTCCCTAAAGTAGATTTAGACCGATTAATCATGCCACCACAGCTGATCTTCTACATTACGGGCCACGGGCCTTTTCCCTTATATTTCGAGAGACATGGACTCTCTTCCTCAGCACTCTGTAGTTGTGGACAACTGGGCAATCCAGAACACTATCTAATCGATTGTCCACTTACTACTGAATTCCATATTCCTTTTCCACCAACGGATAGGACTGCCTTTAGTCGTTTTTTGATTAAGCAACGGCATCAAGTCAAAAAGATAGTCCGTTTAATTGACAAACTGATGAATCTGGGACTTGATCTTTGTGCCTTATAATATCGACATATGATTCAACTTCTTCAACTGCTTGTATATATTATAACCCATCTACTTTTATGCTCTGAAGTGTTTGTAACCATTGTAATCTATTGTAATCCATCTGTTATAAGTCGCTGTGTATAGCAGCAGTCAAATATTTGTATATTCTCTCTCAGCATCTTTTTCTTTTTCTAAGTGCAACCAGGTAATATTGTCTATAACAGCTGTCCTTGTACCTATGGTACATTTAATACCAGGTGCTGTTTAGTATCTGTATATCTTGCATTTGCCTATTTACCGATGAATAATAATGTATCTATTTCTTTTGCATATGCACATTTATTATCAAGTGCTGTTAAATATCTGTATATATTGAATTTGCATATTTATCTGTTGCATATGTATTGTCCTAATAGTCTCTTTGTTGTCCATAGCAGCTATCAATGTACTTATGGTACATTTTTTACCAGGTGCTGTTAAATATCTGAATATATTAAATCTGCATATTTACCTATGAATAATAATGTTATTGTCTTTATTTTTATCTTTTGCCCATGTATTATCAAACATATAACTGTCTGTATTCCCTCATAATGCACTATGATAATATCTACATTGAACGTATTTTGCGTTTTTCACTGTATAATAGTATATAATATCTTGGCATATCTAGTTGGGCGTATTAATGGTACATTGTTTGCCAGTTGCTGTTAAACATCGGTATACCATATACTTGCATATTTGGCTATACATTATACTGTTACTGTCTTCTTTTCATCAATTGCCCATGTAATATCATACATTTAATTCTCTGTGTAATAATAACACTGAATGTATTGGGGTCGCTAGAGATTTTCATTGTATAATATATCCAACCATTATCCATTGTTTTAAATATATCCATTGTATTTATACCAACATTGAATGTATTTTGTGTTTTTCACGGTATAATATATGTTCATAATTTGTGGCATACTTAAGTCTATATTTCATCCTTTGCAAATGTATAGTAACACATTTAACTGTCTGCATCAATTTATTTGCTGCATAAGGATCACAAGTGTCATGATAATTTTAAATGTATATTTGTGTTACCAACACTGAATGTATTTTATATTTCTATTGTATAGTATTGTATAGTATCTACTGTATCGTATCGTATTATGGTATTGTTTTGTATTGTATAGTATCTTATATCAGTTGGCTTTATACAGGTTAAATATGTTAATTTTTATTCATTATAATCGTTTAATTAGCTTTTGTATTGTATTGTATTGTAGTATTGTATAGTATTGTATGGTATCTTATATAAGTTATCTTTTATGCAGGTAACTGCATCAATTTATTTGCTGCATTAGGATCACTGGTATCATGACAATTTTAAATGTATTTTTGTGTCACCAACACTGAATGTATTTTGTATTTTCATCACTAGTGTCATGACAATTTTAAATGTATTTTTGTGTCACCAACACTGAATGTATTTTGTATTTTCATTGTATAGTATTGTATAGCATCTACTGTATCGTATTATATTGTGGTATTGTATCTACTGTATCGTATTGTATTGTGGTATTGTATAGTATTGTATAGTATCTTATATCAGTTGGCTTTTAGTACAGGTTAAATATGTTTTTTTTTTTTTTATTTATTGTATATTGTATGTATTGTAATATTGTATAGTATTGTATAGTATCTTATATTCGTTAACTTTTATGCAGGCTAAATATGTTATTTTTATTCCTCATAATCGTATAATTAGCCTTATTGCATGTTTTTCCCACAATACCACGTGATCAAGTGTATTGTACCGCTATTGCATTCTGTTACATTGTATTCTTTTATTTTTATTTCTTTTGGTATATCCTCTGTGTATTGCTGTAATCATTTACATTCATTATTTCACTATGTTCTCTATTTTTATGTTATATTGTCATTAAGTCTAATTCTACTACTGTCTATATTTTATTCATTGTATATTATTGGATTGGGCTGCCCAACATCAGACTGTACTTTAGCTTATGTATATTCTATATTTGTGTGTATTACACCTTTGTAAAATTTTTGCTTATTGTCCAAACTCGCCCTTTTTGGCCCTGCATGCTTTTGTTATTTTATTTAATAAATGTGGGGCCTGGGCGGTTGTTGGGACTGTCTTTCGTGGGCATTTGGTCTGTTGGACTGCCCCCGGGTTGAATTTGGCTCTGGGTTTGGGCGCCCGGCGCGTGGCGTCTTGTGATTCCTCTTTAGGCTCTAGATATAGGTGGACGTGGTGCTATACCGATTAACCTTTTGGTAAAGGGACAGTGCCCACGTCCCCCTTGCTATATTATGTATTATTCTTATTTAACTTTTTTTTTTGTAAGTTTTTTAATGGTTTTAAAAATTGTGGAAAAATGGGGAATTTTTTTTTTAAAAACCAAATTTGAATGTGAGGAAGATAAATAGTTTAATAAAAAAATAGATATAATAAATATACCCAAATTCAACTAACATTCAACGGCTAAAATTTTGAGAGCTAAATTTTTAAAAAGTACTCATGCGATTTTTACAAAACTTGGCATTTTGCATAGTTTTAGAATGAAATAGAAAAACAATAGGTATGTCATTCAGAAAAAGTTCGATTTTGTGTCAGAATGCCACATTAGACATGCTATATATAAATCTAATAATATACTCGCGCGCTGAGACATGGAAAAAGGAAGTTAAATTTCGGCAATCGCCGCAGTAAAATGGGAGATATAGAAATGTCTCTCTTTTTTGTGTGCAAAGTGTACAACTTTCAATGTAAAATTGTACCAATTTTAATGTAAATATCTGAAGTGTTTTTGCACAAAAATTTTCAAAAATTTCAGTGCTATTATTAAACCCATAAGTATCTCTTGAGCCGCCTAGCATCCGGCATAATGACCTTACTTGCTGTAGAGATAGGCGCTGGTTCGAATCCTGAAGAAGGCGTGGTTGTAACTGTCCGTCCTTTCATGGAGGGCCAACCGTGGGATGATGTTTGGCCGTAGTGGCGCAAGGCTGATTCCCGGATATTAAAAAGAAGTATCTCTTGAAACTGTGTGAAACGGAGTGGCTTTTTTTTTTTTTTTTTTTTTTTTTTTTTTTGAAAGCGGTTTTGTTTGTTAACAAAGCGGTTTTATTTTAAAACCTAGTTCTTTCGCAAAGCGTTTATTAAAAAAAAGCGCATTTAAAAAAACATTTTAGGCGTTTAAAATTTTTTCCACTCAATTGAATTTTATGTAAAACATGAAGAACTGAATTACAAATGTTTGTTTATTAAACGTGAATTTTCTTCTAACTTACCATGCCATTTTTGAAAATTTCTTTCACTGAGCTGATTTTACTAAGTTCGAATGAATTTGTCCGAAATTAATTTTGTTCACATAGAGAGAATTTCATATGTAATCATAAAATACAAAAATGTTTATATATTCTGATGCAGTAATAATAGCATTTGAGTTTTTACTGCAGCAAGTTAGATGCAAATTTCATTCTAAAAGTACTTTAAAAATATTAGGTACGTTAATTGAAGGCTTAATATATTTTGTATTTCTTTATTTAAACTGTAATTTTAAGTTATCATTTACACAGATATTTATGAAAATGAAGATGACAAAGCTATTATTCTTTAAATGCTATTATCCAGTAAATATTTATCATTTTCCTAATATATTCGAGGAATATTTTAATTTTAATGCTTTTGTTCCAAAATACCTTAAGTTCCTGCAGCTAAGTGTTTTATTAGAGCAACGAACAGGTTTAACAATAACTTCCCAAGTTCTCTATTCTATTGATTGATTTTTCATTGCTACTTTTGTTCAAACTTTGTGTCTTTTGGTAAACCCGAACTGGTTTCACTATAACTTAGTGTTTATTTCTTGTTGTTGGTACCTCAGAATTTTGTCCCACTCTTGTTAGCGGTAAAGTTTCTTCAGATAATTTAGGTCATACTCTTGTTCGTGGTAAAGTTGTCTTAGATGTCTCCTTTTTGTTCACATTTTGTGATTCCCTTCGAGGAATAAATCCAGCAGCTCGATCTATTACTTGTCTTGCTATGTCAAATGCATCGTCTATTATTTTACTAATCGATGGATCAATGCCTCTGCTGTATGTTGAAAGTTTAGGTTTAGATTCTGTATGTGGCTGATAAATGCTCCATTGTTTTCTTTCACGATTGTTTCCGATCGATGCGACCGCTTCAACTTTTGTTTCCTTCGACACTGGATAGACTGAAACCTTTGTTTTTATGGGTAAAAGCTTCAAAATATGCGATAGATCTGACTCTGGTGGTGGATGTCTTGAAGAGTATCTTCGAAATTCGTCTGTAACGGGAGAAACATTAGGTAGTGGATCGTAGTATTTCACAGTACTCTTTGAAAGCATTTCTTCATTTTTACCAGAACTACTACTGGTTTTGTCAGTCTCAAAATCTTTCACTGTACTATGCATCTCTTGACTTGCTGTTTGTGATCGAGCATTTAATTCGTACAAGTGTGGCGTCATGGAGCAATCGGTGTTGTACCAGTAGTTGCATGTCAGCACTGCCTGGTTAAATATTGTACCAAGAGGGCATAAGAAACTATGTTTACTATTTCCGAAACACAGGTGGAAAGCCTGAAAGATAAATACCGATATTAAAATAACAATTACATTTTATTAAACGCTAGATAACATTAAATAAAAGATATAGTAAAGTAGAAATTTCTTGTTAATGAGCAGATAACAGTTTAAATTTTGAGCATTTATGTAAATAGCATTCAAACGCCTGTAATTCCAATCGGCAGCTAAACTGGTAAAATATCCAAATTTGAGCCAAGTTCGTATGGAAACCTTCATATATATATATCAAAGCAAAATCTTCTCATACTTTGTTTAGGTGAAAACTCTAAACTCCGAACTGACTTTATAATAAAAAATATAATGTGTTAGATAAATTTTCCCATACTACATTTCGATTGCTTGACAAATGAAGCATGTTTCGATTATGGGAAATAATAAAAATTATACACTTGAGTAAATTATCCAAAATATATACGAGTAAATCATAATGCACTTTCCGATATTCTGCAGAAAATATATTTGATATCTCACATATGAGCTAAAGTTCGCCAATGCGCAGCACAGTAGCCTGCGATTCAGCATCAAGTTCCATTGCAATCAAGAATCCCACACATAAAAAAATCCAGCAGTTTAAAATATTCAAAGATTCATTCTTTTTAAACCTAGAATAACTAGACCCCCTACTTTGTTGAATCCCATCACAAAGTGGTGTTATGTCATTTTAGTAACGATTAATTATAAGACTTTTATTTAGTTAACCTTTTTAGTTGGAAGAACTGGTTTCTAAATATTTATATAAAGAAACAAATAATAATTATATCAATAGTTTTGAGTTTGCTGCAAATCCCTGGTCCGATTCTATGGAAGGAAAGAAAAAGAACATGAGAGACCATTCTAGAATTAGAACCAATGATTTTTAATATTTCACTTTTTTTTGAGGATGTCGGATGTGTGATTTCCGTGTATTTAATACGGAAACTTCCCGAAACAGGGATGCGTTTTATGGTAAATAAATATTTTCCTTGTCGTGAAAGAGCAGCCGTAACGGAGTTCGTTACCGTTTTGGAGAATGACAATGTACACCATTAGTGAATAATTACTTACGTTTCGACGAAGAGGTAGGGCATAGCGAGTGGATAACGAAAGGCCATGTAGTAGTGGAGAAGTGGTTATTGAGGGAAGGACCCTTAATACTCCCCATTCTGAAGAGAGAAGAATGCGACGGAGAGAAGGAAGCCAGGTTTATTCTAGAAGAGAACTGGGAACTTCGCTGCAGTGAGCAGCGAGTAAAAACAGCTTGCGAAGTAAAGAGTGGGTTAAATTTTTTCCTCACCATGGATTCGAACAGCGGTTTATTTAACGTCTGTCACCCTCCCTTCCTGATTCAACGCGACAGCATGATTTTCTTTCGAAAGGGCCAAAGACAAACTCAGCTTGACAGATACCTTTAGAAACCTCTAATGACTTAAGAATGAATTCTGCCGCTGTACAAGCCTTGAACAGAGTTCTTCTGTCCGATTAAATACAAAACAACTTCAGCTTCACCCCAAGATATCCTCGTCAGAACTCATCACCCATCGATAATTATGCCTTGGTCATGATCTGTGTCAGGAATAATGCAAAACAAATGACTGACGTTCCGATAAGAAAGTAAGCTGTTGTCTAAATACAGAAGTGCGTCAGCTTCATTCCAACTGATCCTCATCAGAATTTATCCCCTGTGTCTTGATTATGGATTATGTGAGGATTACCATAACGCATATAATTGATGTTCCCATAAGAAACTATGTTGGAGCTAAATGAAATTCTGCAGAGGGCGATCGTCCTACTCAAGATTATATGGAAATATTTCCAAGTATGTCCTTTTGTTTCTGGTTAACCATTATATTATTTATTTCAATAATTATTTTTTATATTAGTGTATTCATAAATTGCATCTTATGCTACAACTCACTGGCCTCATAATTAGGTCATAAAGCTGCAATTATTTAAATACTATACGATCAAAGTAAAGTTAAGGAAGGCAATAATTATTAGTTATTATTGACTATTTATATGTCAGAACACAAAGCAAAACATTTTTCTTTTATGTTATTTCATAATCATTTTGAGCGTCTTCTTATGTAAACATATGCAAGTACGGATGTTCATGTTTCCAATTAAGTTTTTTTTTTCTTGCACCGGATATGAGGCCGTATTCTTCTTTCACATTTTGCTCAAAACCTATGGGTCGTACCGGTACAGTTCTTAAGTCATTTTTTATGATCCCAAGCGAACAATCTGGCGGGGGCAGAGTTTGGGGTTCCTGATCGGACGCCCTGATGTTGTAATCTGTAGACACTATTCTCCGATGCTGGTTGCATATAAACTTCAAGGAATATTTGCATTCGAGAAAAATTGGTCATAGGGTTTCGAAAATGAGTTTTCCCGAAAACGTCACGTTCCCGATCTTCTAGAAAGTCACGTTGGCAAGAAATCATTAAATGTTTCTAACATAGTGACAATTGTTTTGTAGAGGCCAGGGGGGAGTGTATTTGTCCATAGATGGAGTTCTGTCTACGCTATTTTGACAATTTAAACGTTGTGCCACTCGGGCTTGAAAGATCTGTGTAGGAAAACATGTGGCTATAAATTGAGTTACTCACAAAATAACTTTAAAAGTATCATTCTACAAGCAACAAATAAATAAATAACCAGAAACACAATATTACAACAGTACAGAAAATAACAATGCTGTCAAGAATACTTCAATAATTACAGAAATTTACAACAATAGTTACCTGGCATCCGGTCTCCAAATCGGCGTAATATCCCGGAATATAAGGCTTGTCTGAGCAGTTAAAAGACGTTAATGGGATGTCTTTGTAATTCGGAAAATGAAGTCCTGGAATTTCAAGAACAGAACCAACTCGTATTGGATCAAGATGTATCTTATCGCAAAGGTAATTTGGTGGCCCAATTGGCGGGGGAAGATACGATTCTTGATATACTATACTAGCGTTCCATACAAATTGTTCTGGGTAATTTACAGCGTTTTCTTCTGGAACCCCAGGCAGATACTCACTCAGGTCTGTTTGATCCGTCTTGTAGCAATCATAAGATACTTCAGTTCTGTGAGTTGGTACCTGAGTTATATTGGGAACATTCCCACCAGACTTTCCCTGATATACCTTGTTAGTCTTCCATTCGAAATGTTCTGGGTAGCGAAATAGGTGTTCTATTTCAGGTGGTAATTCAAAATTCTCGGGTGGATCTTCACTTGTTTGCACGCTGTATTCATTCTTATCGTAAGAGTACGGAAGTCGATACGGGAAACTTGAATACTCATCTGACTTGTGGACATTCTCACCGAAGGTTTCTTTATAAACGTTTTCTGGATTAACTGGTATTGAAGGAAATTCGAAGGGATTCTCTGTTTTCCACGACTGTTCTTCCAGTTTTATCCGTGAGTCATCAGGACTGTTTGTGATATTTAAGTTAGCTACCATTTTCAAATATTCCTCTTTCGTTCCTAGACCAGGTACTAAAATAAAAGAGTAAATTGTAATATATTGATACATGTTTATTACTAGATTCTTTTAAATATAATAATATATATTTGTAAGACATTGAGCCAATTTAATACATTAATACGAGCAATACATACATGTTATTCCTCGCAAATTACCGCTTATACGTTTTAAATGAATCGCACTTGTAATGAACTAATTCTAGGGAATTTGTGTTAAATATAATACAATAAATTATAAGTATAGATAGAACTTGCTTGCTTAAAAGAAATTCACGTAAAAAATGTTCTGTTTCTGTATATAGTTTAAATGAATGATGTGAAATGAATCACATGATTATTTTCTAAAACATTTTTTTTTTTTACTTACCATATGTAAATGTTGCCTGAAAACATAACTGAAGTGCCAGAAAGGATAGCTGAAGATACATCTGGAAAGATAATTTGAGATATCAGTACATCGATAAGGTTTTTCCTTATTGCAATAATAATAATAACAATATGATAAGAGTAATAATAATAACGATGATTTTAACAATCACAGTAATAAATAAGCGTAAAATGGAGTGGGGGGAAGACAAGGTCGCTTGCAAACGGAGATGCTTGTTCTGCAACTGTAACTTACTACTGTATGTTTAGAGCCGAGCTAATATAATTACAGTGTGTCTTAGTGAGTTAAATTAGCATTAATTAACAAGTAATAAATCATGATAGTAAACTGTTAATAAGTAAACTTTAATAATAAGTCTTTTAGGTGCTACGTTGGTAGACGGATGCACGGATTTTTGGCGATTTACTCTCGCGCAATTGTTGGCGTTGTTTTTACAATCGTCAGCCATCTTGAAAAACGCTGCTTTTACGTATTTTGTGCAAAATATATATATATATATATATATATATATCGTTAAAAATAATAGATAAATTTTTTGTTGAAAACGTTGTTTTTTACGATGGCAAGCAACTGTAAATAAATACATTTACTACGAGTATAAAATATTACAGTAAGGTTAAATTATTACTTTCATATGGTAATGAAACAGAATAAAAACATGGCGCCAACGTTTAATTGGATTGAAATATTACTTAAACTGAACATCGAATTTAAAACCGTCATATCAACGTTTAAAAGAACTAAAATATTACTTACATTCTAATACTTTAAAATAAGTAAATGAGAACGCTTCCTACACTAGAGTTAAAATGACAGCAATTAGAAGTTTACTGCCGGTAAAAAAGGAGGCATGTCTAATACTTTATTTACCGTTACAGCGGTTATTTCTTCCTCCGTGACCACAATACCATATACGGCAGTCCTCAAATAGGCTCTTTAAACGATTTTCATATGCGATCCACATTTCTCGCACTTCATGAAAGAAGCAATTAGTGAAGTTTCCTCCAAAAATTTAAAATAAATTTCCTCTGACCCTTGTAACAATTTATAAATGAATATTTGATTAGGAAAGCCAGGTTGGCCAAAATAAGGTCTCAAAGGAGAATTTTTTTATCCCGATACCAATAATTCTTGGTGGTTACCAATAACAACATTAATCTTTCTAAGGGACATATCCGTTCCCTATGAAATCTAAGGAATTCGAAGAGATGACTAATAAATTTTTAAAATGGCGCGGTAATGCACAAATATTCAGTAACCAATCAGGGAGCTGATTACAGCTCGTTAATGCACAAATGTTCTGTAACCAATCAGGCAGCTGATTACATCACGCTTAGAATTAAAATTATTTAAATATCATACATAACAAAATCATTTTTCAAAAATAAATGCAAAATTAAATTGTATTTTAATATTTAACAGCCATAAATAATGTTTAAAACATTAGACAAAATTTATAGATATCAAAACCAATTACTTTTAAAGCAGGGTGACGTCATTGATTACATCACCCACAACATAAATTATACAAAATATCATATACAATAAAATTTTTATTTCAAATAAAAAAGGCAAAATTAAATTGATTTTTAATATTTAGAAGTCATAAATAATATTTAAAACACGGAATTCATGCATAATAAAACTCATTTTTTTTTAAATAAAATGACAACAAAGTATCGGTTACTATAAATAACTTGTGTAGCAATGGGTTTACCATAAGTCGTATCGCTCGCCAAAAAAAATCGCCAAAATCCGTGCAACCGTCTATTAAAGTAGCACCGTCTTTTAATTTTATTTTGTGCCATCCTTTCTTTCTAGGTTTTCGAACTCGTGCATAATGTATGAAGTTCCTTTTTACTCTCCTCTGAAATACGAAATTGTCCCCTCTCTATATACCTTTTTCTTCGCACCTAAGCTTGATTTTTCGCTCATTGGTGCAAAAAGACTTAGCGGGACAAAACAAGACATTTGTCTAATTTGTCTGTCTGTCTGTTTTTGGTTAATTTTTACATACCGAGCACGTTGTTCTTAATTTGAAATTTTGAAAATATATTTTCACTATTATTCCGTGAAATACACATTAGCATTAGTACAGTGTGCTAAATGAGTAGTTTAATTTCAGGCTCAACTTTCATATTAAATTAAGCAACAAAATGCCAAGTTTTTACCGAAAATTAGGCATGCAGAATTTCTCTTTTTATAGCTCTAATTATGATGTGGTATGTATTATACAACTACAGCTAACTAGCTCAATAGTATTTCTTCAAAAGAAATCTATATTCCAATAAGAATATTAAGTAACATTAACACTTCAGCATTGCAGTATCTAATAACATATCTTCATTTCTGATTCCATGCAGTTTGAGTCTTGCCTATTCTTACTGTTGTTTCTACTACTCCTTAGATCTCAAATCGTCCATAAGTAATTAAAGAAGGTGAATGTGCAGGTGATTCAGCGAAATCATAGATTGAATTGTCAGTTCGTGTTTACTTTCTTCTGAGTCCCTGGTTCTTAAATTAAGCAGGCATAAATTTCAACAGTTAAAAGGGAAAGGTTCGGCGTAGCTTTTGCAGGTAGTTTGCGAAGGTTTGTCTTTGCTAGTATGACGAAAACAAACACTAACTGGATGAATCCATCTTAAAATTTTGGGGGAGCTCTTTCTCTGAATGCATTAAGGAAAGAGAAATTCACTCAAATATATTTTAAATTTTCAGAATCTAGCGCTAAAAAGCTAAAAGGAAAAATACGCAAGAAAATACAGTACACAGAAGTATATTCCCATAACTGAATTGTAATTATTTAAATTCTGATTGTTCAACGATTATTTAAAGTCAAATGTCAATTGTTCAATGATTATTTAAAGTCAAATGTTAATTGTTCAATACCTTTTTGCTATTCTATTTGAATAAAATGCTATAATTTTACTCATTCATTACTCATTACTAAAAGTGAGTTAAATTTTTAAAAATGCTTTTTTTAAGTTTAATAACAATCTGAAAATTTCAGAATACAGTCTAACAATTCAAAATCTCATCACACAGTTTAAAATGGAAAGCTAAACAATTATTAGAAATCTTTAAAATTATAAGCTTAGAAAAACAATCTAATTTTTGTATACTGATTCCAGTTTACTACCTGAAACAATTTTAAGCTAAACAGTTACGATTAGCTAGCTATTTTATCTTGAATTCCTGAAAAATTTAAGATAAACAGCATAAAACCATATGCTTAAAACGAGCTGCTAGAAACAGCAGGGTGAAATGACAAGAAAAAGAAACTTGCTATGATATTTACTTGAGCATAACGTATTGCCACATGCACACTAATGGGCTAGAACAGTGCTTTGCTTCTTCCTAGCTACGCATGTAGGAAGACGACTTTCCAAAAGATCATAGGAACATTATAGAGAGTATTTATGGGGACATTCGTATATCCTAGTCTTCAAATTTCGTCCCTGTGTGTCAGGAGACGATTATTCTTCTTCAGTTCTAACTTATTTGTCGTTGTGACAGTACCAGTCGAATATTTCGAGAACAAATCATTTTTGTGATAACTGCGTTCAAATGTATGTTCAAATGTATATTCAGCTATCATTACAATTCAACTTAAGTGATCTGTGTAAAATACCTCAGCGGGAATAACTTACTATATCATTTCTTAAAACAATATTTTAAATAATTTTAATAGGTTGTGAAACTTAAGTTGAATTGTAATGACTGTTGACAAAGATGTGTAAGAAAGCCAGATGCTTGACAAAGAATTTTAATTCAGCCGGAGCTTACCGAAGTCCGACTTCGGTATTTGTTAGCTTTCGACTCAAACAATAATTCCAGCTGAATGCCATATTAGATCAGGTCTCACATTTTAAGTTGTTGTCTATCTGTTTTGAATTAATTTAAATTAATTCAATATTCTTTATTTATCTCTACATTGTTTAATTTTATCATTAATTATTTAGTGTTTTATTTATTAATTTTTATTTACCTTTCCTGCTCCTTTTTATAGTGTGAAGGCAAGCCCTCATATTTTTACTCCAGATTCCATTTCGACTGTGATAAAGGACGTGGGCTATAAAGATTATAAATCGACCGGTTTGAAGATCTCTCTCTCTCCTTCCCTTACGCTCGCATGCGTGAATGTAGGCTACAAAATAAGTCTGGTGACTATTTTCCAACCCCGATTCGGGGCCACAATTTTCATTAGCCAAGTCTTCGTACTTATTAAAGTAATTATTAATTTTCATACTTGTGAACTGTTTAATACACATTCATCAAGATATTTCTTCTTCTCGCACACGTTGCTAAAATGAAGAAGAATTCGTGTCACTTTCTTCGATTGTCCTGTTCTACGATGAAATTGTGAGTGTCGTCGTGTGGCTAGTGTTTACCTAGGTTAGTTTGAGTCTAAATATGTATCTAAGTTTCTAGTACAACATTAATGTTCTGAATAAATACATGTCTTTTCAAGTGAAGATAATGCGCCCTACTTTCTGTCACTTTCAAGATTTATGTCTTATCTAATTTTAGGTTATTAAGGCGTACCACAATCAAATCTTAATATACTCTTCTTTTCTGGTTATTGGGGCAGAAGTGCAAAAAATAATTAAAAAAAATATGTTTGTAATAATTTTACTAATATATAGGTTGTCGAAATTTCTAATATTTGAAATTAAGGTTTTTTGTAGGGAAAGTATTCTTGCACCGAAAAGAACGTCTTTGACTGAGAATAGTAAACAGTGAATCCCTCTGCTCGAGGCTTCTAATACTGTAAAATGTATTAATTTAGAATATTAAATAATTAGTGTCTTGATGATTACAGTAATGTGTATTATTTCCCAAATATATTTTGATGTGGAAGAGTTGTGTTACTAAAAAAATACTCGTTATCAATTGGGGACTGTGTGCTTTGGATAAGGCGTCAGCGGAGTTAATATCTAGGCCTGACGAGAATTTCAGCCTTAAATGGAGAGACCGTTCCATTTCTTTAAATATGAATCCAAGTGGTCAAGATAGCCTTTACACTTGATCAAAAAGTAATGAATATAGAAATTATTGATTCAGAAGATAATAGAAATCTTTAGAAATAAAACTAAACAATTACCTGAAGAATTAAAAACGAATTTTGATTGAGTTGATGTATAAAAGTATTTCCTCCCTCCTTTCTGCAAGCCTTCGCGGTGCACACTCAGCGCCTATTCGAGAGATCCAGGTTCGATACTGAACTGTGTGACGATACTGTGCGACGATATGGAACATTTTTCACTTCGTTTGCTTTAAAAAGAGAGGTGTCCGAAATAAAAAAGGTGGTGGATGACGATCCTTCACCACCAGGAATTGGCGACTGTTGTCCACCTAATCCCCAGTCACCCTTTAAAAAGGGGCGTATATTGGGTATTTCTCACTCTTTTCTATATGCATTTGTGGTGTAATGGTCGCACACTCGGTGCGTATTGGAGAGTTCCGGGTTCCAGTCCCGGCAAAGGCATTGCACACTTTTTACATCTTCTGCTTTAAAAAAATTCCCTAATATCTCTACAGCTGTATGTTGCAAAGAAGGCGAATCAGATATATCGCAGATAGTAAATCATATAAGATAATTGATGAAATTTCTTTAAAGCTAAATCGCGCATTTTGAAAATTAACGAGAAAATGTAGACCATTTATTCTGAAATGCTGTACAGGTAATGTTATTTGTGCTTTCCTTTCCAACTTTCTTGGGAAAATTGAAAAGTGGTTAATATTTAAATACTTCAAGTGTACATGGAAACAAAAACATTCTTAATGCTTTGAGGATGCAAATGTAAAGGCTAGTTGCTAAACTGGTGCCTTAAAAGTTATACAGTCAATAACTAAATCTGATAAAAATTATGATTATGGTTACCTTCTCTCTTTTTTTCTTAAATTTTTTTAAGAAAAACAAACTTCATACAAAACTTCTCGTATTCTACGAAGTATTCCAGGAGGCTTACAGATGTGAGTAAATAACTCACAGTACAAGGAATTCAACTTTAAAAACATAAAATCTAGGCTTGGCGAAAGCAAAGAAAATATATATATATATATATAAAGTAAAAATACTATTATAATAAAAATACTAAAATATACCATGAATAATTAAACTGTGTTAATTCTCCTATAACAGAAAATAAACCAACTTAATATAATACAATAAAAATAAAAATGAAATAATAGTTAAAAATAATACTGATACAAAGGAAAACAGTACATCAACGGTGCAAAACATCTATACATAACGTAATCGTACACAGACAATACGCAACATAATACAACATATAAAAGATAAAAAATCCAGTCATACAAATAATAATAAATAAATTCGCAGAAGACTGCAAAGACTTCGGAACTCCTAACAAGATCATAGAAAGCAAGGGGCCAGCAAATACAAAGCTGCCCTAAATTCACTTTAAGTACCCTTCTGGTAGTCACATGTAACTTGCAATGCAATAAATATGGCTGTAGAATTCTGAGTAAGTTTATAATCCGGTTGAAAATGCCCACACTTAAATCGTGGAACATTTGGGAAAAATCTCTTTGTCCACTGGACCTTCGAAGAAGCAAGATATTCAGCATTCCAATCAACCACAGCTTTCTTCCAGTGAGATCTGGGAGCACACAGCATTAAATCAATATCCCGATAAATCGCTTGCTTAGCCAATTGGTCAACCCTCTTAATACCGAGAATACCACGGTGGCCGCGAGCGTAGGTAAAATGTATATCTGCAGTATCTCTAATGGCTTGTAATGTTCAGTGAATTTCTATCACCAGCTTTTCAGTCAATAGTTTATTGCGTAGAAGAGCGAGAGAGAAGAAGGTGAATTTGCGCAAATATGATATTTAAACGTCTTTCATTCTTACGACAAGCGTTTTGTATCCATTTAACGGCAAGATTTAAGCTTAGAAGCTTGGCTTGAAAAACAGACCATTCATCTGGTATGCCCTCCTCTTCATGCAATGAGGATATCATAAAAGCATTTCACTTGTTTTTATTGCTCAGCCTGTTACTTTATTTACTAACCTATACTACTAAAATCTGTGCGCTTCTGTCTGGTGTGGCATTATCTCCTCAGGGATGGCGGGAAGCTATTTGGAAATAGAGTCAGTTTGAATGTTTAGCAGACGAACTTCGACAGAGGTATCCCCCGGAATTACAAAATTTCGTGGGAACCCATTTCAACCATTCACATCTTCGTAAGGCTTTAATTAGCGGAGATATTAATTAAAACATTTGAAACGCTAATTTTCGTCCTCATTTTTTCGAGTGGCAACAGTCTCGCACGTTGGAGATAAAAATGCTTTATTTCGAAATGTGTTGCCACTGCTCGCTTTCAAATAGTAGAATTTGTTAATAAAAAATTTGTAAATTTTATAAAATAGGAAATAAAAATAACATTGACAAACATTAAACGTATCATTAATTATAGAAGGGCATATTCTGACGTCGAAAAAGCACGGGATTGGATGTGACGTCACTGCATGTCGGAAATCTTTCGTTAATGTCAGGATTCTAAATAAATAGCTAATATTGGCAACTTTTTTGGTTTCCGGTTAGTATAATTGATACGATATAATTTTACCACGTTAATTCTTTTGTTAATATTTACAAAAATGTGAAATATTGTTGTCATATTACATTAAATTTAAATCATGACATTATACTTATTAACCTGAAGTGTCAAAAGTTTTGGTTTCCTGGTTCGGCAATAAAAAAACTGATTACGAATTGGGTTTTGCTCGGAATGAGTAAATTAATTTCATTTTGAAATGTTTTCGTACATTTGCTTTTCAAGGGTACATAGAAGATACAAATTTTGCTTTGGCTGCAGGCCGCTTATCTGGTGGAGTTGCCGACTATTTCATTTAATATTTTTTGAAGTTTTCACTAATGATACCCGAATAATCACTTGTATAGTGGCAGATGCTATGAAGAAAAAAAATCTGAAAGGTTTCAGATTTTAATTTACGTCCAAAGGGACATTTTTTTAACGTTTTGTGTGTTACAAATATCATGTTCTACATACTCAAACTATAAAATTCAGTTGAACAGATTAAGAACAGAACAAATTTTAATGGCTTTAAGTACGTTGTTTTATCACAATGCGAGAAACATACATACATTATGCAGATTTTTCATTATTTAATTTCTTTAAATATAAGACAGGGCGACAACGATTTGAAAAGTGACACAGCCATTTAAAATTTTCAACGCAAAATGCCAAAACGAAATTAATAGTCCTTCAGGGAAAATTGCCCCTTTGGTCTAAAAAAGAAAAAAGTTTAAATTTCTAGTTAAAATTTTTAAAACTTAAATTTCTAGTTAAACTATTGTACCATAATATCATTCACTTATGAATTTGATAATTAAAGCCTAGTAACCCAGATTATAGTGCCCATTTACAAAGAAATTCTTTAATTCTCTTTTATCTTTATTTTGCTGTCTTATAGGGATTAAAATTCAAATGAAAAGCATGCTGTTGTTTAACTGTACCAACTGTACCAGATTTTCATTGAATCTGGAAGTTCTATGGGGAATCACGTTACGTTAGTTGCCTTTTTACTTCTGAGGTACATTTTCAACATGATATAAAAAATATAAGATTCGAATGTATCAAGAGTAAGTTTTATTTAAAGTCGAATTCGAAGCAATAGTTTAAATAAAACTGCAATAAAAATAGTTGGAAAACGTTTAAGCTTTAGATTTAATGCCATTAAATTAATCGCGACACGAAATTTCTCGTGCATTCATTTCTAAGTAACTTACCTTTTGATTAATAGAATCCAAACGCCGTAAAAGATGGTTAGAGGTCCAAATATAAATTAAATAGCAAACATTTCTTTTAAATACTGTTTATTTCATACCAGGGAGGCGTGTGACAGTAGATTCCTCCCATTTAAGAAGTAGGGGAAAGGGGTTCTTTTCCTTATCAGAAGATAAAGGGTATGTTGAAAGAGTAGAGAAAGAGTGATTTTGTGTCCAATGGCACGTGACAAAATACTTTTTCAATCAGAACAAACATTTCACATAACCTTGGTTAGATTACAGGGAAATTTGTTGGCCCAAAAGGAACTTTAATCCCGAATGGGATATTAGTCTCAAAACGGAATTTCGCGTCGTAACACTTAAATGCGTTGTATAACTTTTCAAATTGTTGCCACCAAATATTATCGCCATTCTTTATCACCGTGCCAAATATGATCCCCGTGTATTTAAAGAAACTAAATAATGAAGAGTCTACATGAATGTATGCATGTTTCTTGCGGTGTGAAGAAACAATGGACTTAAAAACCATCAAATTTTGAATAACGTAGTTCTCCAACTGAGCAGCGGTAAAGTAGCTGAACACTGGCAGTTCTGTTCGAGGTTAGAATCCCGACAACAGGGTTTTGAGGTTTACCTCGTGTGTAACGTGTATAGAGCTAGTTTCCGTTAGAAAGTCCTCCACGAAGACGTCGCTCCCCTTAGGCAGATAGCCCTCGAAGCTTTGCCGTCATCACATAAACAAACGAATCCATCCGAATATGAGCACCTGGAAGCCCAAATTTTGAATTTCGAATTTGTTTAATTATCTTTTTCACGTTTTGCAAATATTTAACGAATTTTTGATTAATAAACTTAAAATTTGTAGTGGCGCAGGACTAATGGCTATTAACTAAAGCGCCCGGCCATTAAAAAACAAACGTAATTAAGGTAAAGTACAGTAGGGTATCTGCTTCTAAGAAGAAATGCTTGTACGAAAGGAGCCATAGGAAGCATTGACATTAAGTGTAACTTAAGTAAAAAACAAAAAATTCGAAAAAAAAAAAACTAATATATATTTGTGCGCGAGGTAAGCCATAAAAACTGCATTTAATCAGGCCGTTTAACCTCCGAGAAAAATTCATTAAAAAATACCACAGTTGGCAGATTTTTGTCAGTTAAGGCTGCGTTAATTGAAGCTCTGGAAGTTTATTATTCATCAATCGAATGTATAAATATACTCCAAACACTATTTCGAGAGTTACGTAGTTATTTACCTTAAAATGCTCATTGTAAAAGACTGATGCAGTCGAACCATTATCTATCATGTGTAAGAAAAGTTTAGAATGTTACTAATTTCAGAAATGCATTTCTACGTAACATCCACATGGAGTCTTTAAGGAATCGTTATGAATCAAATGCTTTTGTTGAATGTTTTCTTGTATGCGAACTGATATTCACAAAACACACAGATAAACATTTCCACTGAAAATATGCGATTTCAATTTTATATTAGTAATTCAAAGCTGTACTTGTAAGTTATAAAAGAAAATTAAAGAGAAAATTGTTAAACTCAAAATGAGAACGGGGAAAATCACCGTCAAGCAAAAAACGCACAAAAATAAAAATGTCATGGATTCAAATAAAATTCAGCATAACAACATAACTTTATAAATGAGTTATGAACACTTGATCAACGGCAGAGCAGTAAAGGTGGATTCGAACCGTGTTCAAATCTTGTGGCTGCATGGGAGTTTTCGTGGTTTTCCTATTCGAAAAGAAGTATTACCAAATTTAATCTTCTCCTTGTGTTTTCAGTAAATATTTATTAGTTAATACAAAAATATGAAATGTAGAGTTAAAATTATTGCGCACTTCTCCTTTTTCTCACAAATCATTACGCAAAACTTAAAATCACTTAAAATTTTTTCAGTCATAAAACACATATCTGCGATGTTATGTCATGCAATAATTCGTAGAGGCTTAATTTTTTACAATGATATTTTAGCTAAAGTGCACGTTGTTCATGAAAACGTTAATGATACTTTAAGAAGACGAATAAATTTAATGGGAAAAAAAGTAAAGCTTGGTGTTCACTAAAAGAATAGCAGGTTAACAAAAGGGAAAGAAAATAATTTTCCGGTTTGATAAATACTTAAACAATTTTAATAGAGGTAACCTCATGCAGTTACTTATCTTCTTTTTCTAATCTTTTTTAGGCTATAATTTTCATGAAAAATTAAAGTAAAACTTTATAAAAGACGTTAATTAATTAATAACTTTTATTAATTAACTGTGTAAGTTTAACGTTTTATTAACTGCTATAAGTAGCATTAATTTTCTAATCCTTTTTCGATTTTAAATGTTTAAATTTCCTTCTTATTTTTCATCAAAATTTTATTAGTTAATTCAAAATTATGAAATATAAAAGTAAAAATATTCCTCCTTCCTTCTTGCTTTCTTATATCATTGTACAAACATGCATTTACACTGCGGAAAAATAAAAATTGACTGATCTATATATCCCGATATACTGGGCCTTTTGACACAAAATCGGACTTTTTTGAAATGGCATGCCAATTTTTTTCCATATTTCCATTCTACGACACAAATTATGCATCCATATTAAATTTTGTAATTTTCAGTGAGAAAATTATGGAGAAATTTATAAATTTCTCTTGGCGCATTTTTTGCAGTTTGCGACAAGAATAATTCATTTGGCGAACTTCTTAATTTTTAGCAACGTATTTTCCTTTCCTTGTTTTCTATAAGAGCGAGTTTCCCTTAGAAAGTCCTCCCCGAAGGCATCCCTCTCCTTAGGGAGATAGCCCTAGTGTGCTTTGCCGTAATTAAATAAACCTAACCAAACCAAACCTTTCCTTGTTTTCATTGTACACGAGCGGAAAAAAGTCATCGTTCATACTTTCAAATAATTTATCAAAGGTCGTAAACCACATTTGGCGTTATTATCGCTTGTAACAAATATGCCCAAATTTCAAAACGCTCCAATACGTAATTTTACGTATATCTTAGTAAATTTTGAATGAAAAAAATTTCACCTAAATTAAAAAAATTTTAACTAATTTTGTGCAGGTATGCCTTTAAGTCCATCTACTTCAGGGATGATGGTAAAAATTTTATAGCTTGTAATTCACTATTTTTTTTCGAAAAATGTATTAAAATTATTTAAAAATACAAATTTTAAAAATAAATCGTGAAAAATGGGGAAATTTTATTTGGAATGAAACTAAATTTGGAAATGTGAAAGGAAGAATCATATAAGTTTAATAACAAAAATAGATATAAATAAATATATACCAAATTCAGTTAACATTCAGCGGCTAAAATTTTGAGAGTTAATTTTTTAAAAACTACTCATGCGATTTTTACAAAACTTGGCACTTTGGCATAGTTTTAGAATAGAAATATAGAAAAACAAATAGGTATGTCATTCAGAAAAAGTTCGATGTTGTGTTAGAATGCCTACATTAGAACAATACTATATATAAATCTAATATATATCCTACGTCGCGCTCGAGATATGGAAAAAGGATGTTAAATTTCGACAATCAGCGCAGTAAAATCGGAGATATAGAACTGTCCCTCTTTTTTGTGTGCAAAGTGTACAACTTTTAAAACCTGAAAAACTCGCAACTGTAGAAGATAACCGTGGCGACCTATTAGCCGCTTCCACGATGAAATGGTCACCATTTCTGGCCCTTGTGGTGGCGCAAGGCTGATGCCCGGATATTAAAAAGAAGTATCTCTTGAAACTGTGTGAAACAGAATGTCTTTTTTTGCTTGTTAACTGAAAGCGGTTTTATTTTGAGAATTAACTATTTTTAGTTCTTTTCCTTATCAAAGCGTTTTTATTTTAAACAAATATTTTCAAGTTTAATTAAGACATTTCCAAGCGTTTAGAAGTTTTTTCCACGCTCTTTATTTGAATTTTATGTAAAACATGAGAGAATTGATTTAAAAATGTTTGTTTTATTACAAAGGTGAATTTTCTTCTTTAACTTTACCCTGAAATCATTTGATACGCACATTTTATGCCTATTTTGAAATAATTTCTTTCACTGAGCTCATTTTACTGAGTTCAAATTAATTCGCCCGAAATTAATTTTGTTCACATAGAGAGAATTTCATATTTAATCATAAAATACAAAGTTGTTTATATATTCTGATGCAGTAATAATAGCATTTGAGTTTTTACTGCAGCAAGTTAGATGCAGAATTTCATTCTAGAATAGTACTTTAAAATATTAGATACGTTAACTAAAGGCTTAAATATATTTTGTATTTCTTTATTTAAACTGTAATTTTAAGTTAATCATTTACACAGATATATTTATGAAAATGAGATGACAAAGCATATTTATTCTTTAAATGCTATTATCCAGTAAATATTTATCATTTTCTAAATATTATTCGAGGAATATTTTATTTTTAATGCTTTTGTTCCAAAATATCCTTAAGATTCCTTGCAGCTAAGTGTTTTCATTATGAGCGAACAAAACCAGGTTAACAATAACATTCCCAAGTTTAATGCTATTCTATTGATTTATTCATTGCTAGGCTTAATTGTTCAAGCTTTGTGGTCTTTTAGTGTAACCCGAACTGGTTTCACTATAAACTTAGTGCTTTATTCTTGTTGTTGGTAAAGTTTTCCTCAGACAATTTATGTTCCACTCTTGTTAGTGGTAAAGTTTCTTTAGGTAATTTAGGTCATACTATGTTTGTGGTAAAGTTGTCTTAGATGTCTCCTTCCTATTCACATTTTGTGATTCCCTTCGAGGAATAAATCCAGCAGCTCGATCTATTACTTGTCTTGCTATGTCAAATGCATCGTCTATTATTTTGCTAATCGATGGATCAATGCCTCTGCTATATGTTGAAAGTTTAGGTTTAAATTCTGGATGTGGCTGATAAATGCTCCAATGTTTTCTTTCACCGTGGCTTCCAATCGATGCCACCGCTTCCACTTTTGTTTCGTTCGACACTGGATATACTGAAACCTTTGTTTTTATGGGTAAAAGCTTCAAAATATGCGATAGATCTGACTCTGGTGGTGGATGTCTTGAAGAGTATCTTCGAAATTCGTCTTTAACGTGAGGAACATTAGGTCGTGGATCGTAGTATTTCACAGTACTCGTTGGAAGCATTTCTTCATTTTTACCAGAACTACTAATGGTTTTATCAGTCTCAAAATCTTTCACTGTACTATGCATCTCTTTACTTGCTGTTTGTGATCGAGCATTTAATTCGTACAAGTGGGGCGTCATGGAGCAATTGGTGCTGTACCAGTAGTCGCATGTCAGCACTGCCTGGTTAAATATTGTGCCAAGAGGGCATAAGAAACTCTCTTTCCTATTTCCAAAACACACGTGGAAAACCTGAAAGATAATTACCGATATTAAAATAACAATTACATTTTATTAAACGCGAGATAACACTAAAAAAAGATATAGTACAGTATAAATTTCTTCTTAATGAGCAGATAACAGTCTTAATTTTGAGCATTTATGTAAATAGCATTCAAACACCTGTAATTCCAATCGGCAGCTAAACTGGTAAAGTATCCAAATTTGAGCCAAGCTCCTATGGAAACCTTCATATTATTTATGAAAGCAAAATCTTCTCATATTTTCCTTAGGTGAAAAATCTAAAATCCGAACCCACTTTATAATAAAAAAATATAATATGTTAGATAAATTTTCCCATGCTACATTTCGATTGATTGACAAATGAAGCATGTTTCGATTATGGGAAATAATAAAAATAATATACTTGAGTAAATTATCCAAAATATATATCAGTAAAATATAATGCACTTTCTGATATTCTGCAGAAAATATATTTGATATCTCACATGTGAGCTAAGCACATTATTATAGCGACTGATTTTAATGCTGCAAGTAATCGTTGAGACCACCTTTCGGAGAATACGAAGTCCAACGGTACTTGAATATATTGTTTCAAATACTTTGGTAACAGTTAAAGATAAATATAGCCTATTACATTCAAAACTTCAAGAGCACAAAGATATTCAGATGACACTCTCACAGTGTCTTGCACATCTTCATTCATAAACGATAGACAAGATAGATAGACTAGATACAGACACATGAAGCGGCCATTGGGCCATGAAATAGCCTACGTTTCATTATCCATTATTACCAAATGTTGATACAGGTCAGCTTATGTAGTTACAGAATCAGTCATGAGGGCTCCACAAGACTGCACCGCTGAAGCCAATCCAGATTTAGTACAACAGCTAGTACGAGGGCTCACCCTGGCATGTAATGCTGTTTTCCGGTTCAAGATTTGTAAAGAAAGAATCCTGCAGACCATTTGTATAGACTAATTTGCTTACTGTCAGCTTTGAGATTCTAAAACGGGGTCTTTTACAAAGGCTGACTTTTCATCTTAAGGGTTTTCTGTCTTAAGAGTCTTAAGGGTTTTCTGAAGCAGGAAAAATGAAATGTGCAATGTCCTCGCCGGGACTGGAACCTGGACCTCTCGCATTCGCGCCAAGTGTGCTACCCTGAACTTCCTAAGACAGGCCAAATGCGAATACCTTTACCGAATTTAGCTTTTGCTTGTGCTAGATCGGGACTATCAGACAGTAAAGCTGCTGTCATAGCATTCTTATGTACTTCAGGAACTGAGCATTGTTCCTAATGATATTCCAGCTAAACTTATTGACAGGAGTAAGCTGCGGAAAGAACTCCCAGCTTCAGTCTACCGCTACACAAATAATACAGTCTTTGTATGGCATCTACTTTGATGGCAGGAAGGACGAAACTATAATGTATGAGAAGAAGAGAAATTCTTTTTTCATGACGTCAATTCAGGAAAAGCATATTGCTCTCTTATCGGAACCTGGTTTTGGTTTGTTGCAAATATAACACAAAGCAACGCCAACATTGTTACACAGAAAGAGATTGAACTTTCCAAACTGGTTGCTGTTGGGTGCGATGGAACGAAAGTCAACATTTGAGAAAAGCATTGAGTAATTAGACGCCTTAAGATCTTTTTCGATCAAAACTGCATTGGTTTGTTGCACATTAATAAACTTCCTCTTCGTCATCTTTCCCAGAAGACTCATGGAAACATATCTGAGCCCAACAGTGTTCTGGAACATGGAACAATAGGAAAATCCTTAAAATCACGTACCCTTTCCCTGACGGATTGTGTCCCTATTCCAGTTGATCTACTCACAACTGATAAAAAAGACTTCAATACTGACCAAAAATACCTCCTTGATATTTTTAAGGCAGTATCCTCTGAAAGACCAAGCAAATAGGAGTCCTGGGAAGCTGGCTCACTCAGGATGGTTCACTACAGCTGTTGGCTGTAGTGAACTTTAGTTTCTTCGGTTTTATGTATCAATCGTCGAACCTATAGACGACTTAAAGTTACTAGCCGACTATGTTATAAAAGTTTATGTGTCATCCTGGTTTGAAATAAAGAAAATCCCAAGAGAAACACATAGAGCACATCATGTTCAAGGAATGATCAAGAAAAGTTCGTTGTTCTCAGAAAATTTTAAGGCAATCTTTCATGAAGTTATTCAAAGGAAATGCTATTTTGCTCATTCTTAAAACATCTTGTTAGCGATGCTGCAAGATGAAAGAGCACATATTCGTGTACTTGGCCTTGGAAGAATAACGAAAGCAAGAAAAACTGACTGGAAGGGGTAAAACAAGATAATTTGTGCTTCCCAGATCGAATTTTAAAGCAGAGGAGTATTTTGAGATAATACCTTGGAACCGGTTACCTTGAACCTCAGCGACGAAGGCGTAAGATTGATTGACGTAAGAGACGGTTCTCAGTTTGAAATAGGAAACTTCGCTTGCCATTCTAAAGCAGTAAAGAGTCATGTAAGACTGGTGACAGAAGCGACATTGGCAGCATGTGGTGCAAAAGCCAGCATGGATTCATACGCAGTCAAATCAAGTCGCGAAACGAAATTAAGTTCGACACCAAGATGAATTTCTTCGTTTCTGTTGTGGAATTCTGAAGATGACAAGTGATTTCGCTGAAACTTTTTACTGGCATTTTTTTACCAATTACAAACATACATGGGGTCAGGAAGTAAAAAGGTCATTAAAAATATTGCTAAAAATAGTTTGACGTTTTCATTAACATCAACATTGATTTTTTTTTTTTTTTTTACTTACCTCATGTGAAACCTGAAGACGACGAGCAGTTGAGCTGCAAATTTTTATTTTGTTCATCAAATGGAACCATTTGTTGGGTGAGAAAGTAATAAAATTTAAAAAAAATTTCCCTTCTTCACTCCTTAATGTTTTTGTTTCCAATAAAGTTTTTTCCTTACATCGGATATGATATCATCTTTTCCTTTCGCATTTTTCTCGAAACCTATGAGAAGTACCGGTACAGTTCTTTAGGCATTTTTATGTATCCCAAGCGAACAATCTGGGTGTGCAGAGTTTGACGTTTCTTGATTGGATACCCTGTACAGTTTACTTGTAATCTCTAGCAACTATGTTGTTGTTGCTGCCAACCAACAACGTTGGTTGCATATCCATGTCTATGAATATTTGCATTCGAGAAAATCTGCTCGTAGAGCTTCGAAAATGTGTTTTCCCGAATCTTCCAGAAAGTCACATTGCAGTGAAATCACCAAATGTTTCTAACTTAGTGACACAGTACTTTGTAAAGGCCCAGCAGCATAGTATTTGTCCATAGGTGAAGTTCTATTTAAGCTATTTTTACAATTTAAACGTTGTTGCACTTCGGGCTTGAAAGATTGTGTAGGAAAACACGTGGCTATAAATTACTCAAAAAATAACTTTAAAATTATCAAAAGCAACAAATAAATAAATAACCAAATAAAACAATCCACAATAATTCAACAATACAGAAAAATAGCAGTGCGATCAAGAATATTTAAATAATTACAGAAATTTACAAGAATAGTTACCTGGCATCCGGTCTCCAAATCGGCATAATATCCGGGAATATAAGGCTTGTCTGAGCAGCTAAAAGAAGTTAATGGGATGTCTTTGTAATTCGGAAAATGAAGTCCTGGAATTTCAAGAACAGAACCAACTTGTATTGGATCAAGATGTCTCTTATTGCAAAGATAATATGGTGGCCCAATTGGCGGGGGAAGATACACCTCTTGATGAACTACACTAGAGTTCCATAAGAATTTTTCTGGGTAATATACTGCGTTATCTTCAGGAGCGCCGGGCAGATTCTCATTCAAGTCCGTTTGATTCGTCTTATAGCAATCGTAAGCTAATTTACTTCTTTCAAACTGAGTTATATTGGGAACGTTTTCATCAAAATTTCCCGGACATGCCTTCCAAACGAAGTGTTCTGGGTAGCCAAATATGTGGTCTGGGTCAGGTGTTATTACATGAATCTCGCGCGGATTTTCTGTCGTTTCCACGCTATTTTCATTCTTATCGACAGTGTACGGAGGCCGATATTGGGAACTTGAAACCTCAGCGTACGAAGGCCAATATTGGGAACTTGAATCCTCAGCGTACGGAGGCCGATATTGGAAACTTGAATCCTCAGCGTACGGAAGCCGATATTGGGAACTTGAAACCTCAGCGTACGGAGGCCGGTATTGGGAACTTGAAACCTCAGCGTACGGAGGCCGATATTGGGAACTTGAAACCTCAGCGTACGGAGGCCGATATTGGGAACTTGAATCCTCAACTGACTTGAGAAAATCTTCACCGAACGTTTCTTTTAACACCTTGTCTGTATCAACTCGTACTGGAAAATATTCTTCAGGATCATCAGGATCGTGTAAGATCCGTAAATTAGCAATCATACTGATGATGTCCCGTTTCTTTTCCTTTTCTGGAGTGGCTCCTAAATCAACAGATTAAATTTTAATATATTGATATTTGTTTATCACTAGATTTTTAATATAATACTATATATTTTTAATACATTGACCCAGCTTTAATACACTGCTGGGCATAAAAATTGCAACACCAGGAAGGAATGATCTGACGACCGTGAAAATTACACGAAAGGAAGAAGAGGTTGGGATATGCAAAGGAGGGAGTAATGACATCTGAAGATCTGCATAAAAGAAAAGTTGTGTAGTGGATTTATTATTCAGAAAGAGCTTTGTAAAGTCGGATTTTGCTCATATCGTTTTATGTCTAGAAGACTAAGCAGAAATGCTTACCAGCAAATGTCGGAATGCGATAGAGGCAGGATCGTTACTTATCGAGAGTGCGGATTATCTTTCCGTGTTAACGCCAGTCGCACTGGTCAACATCCAACCACTGTCATGCATATATTTAATCAATGGGTTGCTGAGGGTCATATGGAACGGCATGTCTGTCATAGGAGGGATCTCAACGCTCTCCTATGACTAGCGCCCGAGAGCACAGACACATTGTGAGGTCAGACGTGTAAAACCGAACAAACACATCACGGGCCATTAGTCAAGAAATAGGCATAGTATTCGTTAGCCTAGTAGCACGCTTAGTATCCTTTCTTAGCGCGCCTAGTCCTTTCTTACGGTGCGTCGACGTTCGCAGCCTGTCAACCCGACGATCATTACTTTGGCTTCCCTTCATAACGCAGCATAGAGAGAGACGTCGTCTCTGGTGCTCTGAACGACAAAGCTGGATACAGGAGCAGCACAACGTCGTCTTTTCAGAATAGTCTCGGTTTTTCGTACAGTATTTTGATGGCCGTATACGTGTCTGGAGGAGACCGAACATCGCCTGCTTTCCTTCATTATCGGCGTAGGGGCTCTGCACCACCTGATGTAATGGTTTGCGCAGCCATTGGGTGCACGACACGCACATTTCCAGTTCGGATCGACGGTAATTTGAACGCAGATCGATACATTTCTGACATCTTACTTCTAGTGGTTGTGCCACAACACTCGAGGCTTGCGAAACGCCATCTTCCAATAAGATAATGCAAGACAACATGTTGCACGTCGTGTTCTGACCTTCCTCAATACGCATGGTATTCGATTGCTGTCCTCGCCTACACGGTCCCCAGATCTCTCATACACTGAAAACATCTGATCGTGGGTTGCTGAAACACTGGCTCGCTACCCTTCTCCAGCTAATACGGTTGATGAAATGTAGCATAGACTTAAAGCAGCATGGAATGAGTTGACCGTTTCTGGCATTCAAGCCCAATTCGACTCCATTCCTAACTGGGAAAGGGCCGTTTTAGACGCCAAAGGTGGCAGCTTACTAATTTCATACTCCTGTAAAGTCCCAAACTGCTTACAAATTTAATCTTTGTATCTTCATGCCATACTGTTTACGTACAATCAATATCTTCTTTGTATTTGCTTTCCTTCATGGTGTTGCAATTTTAATGACCAGCAATGTACATTAACATGAGTAATGCATACATGTTATTGCTTGCAAATTTACCATGTATATTTTTTTAAATGAACCACACGTGTGATGAGCTTATTCTGGGAAATTCGTAATTAATAAAATGCAGAAATTTTAAAGTAAAAATAGAACTTGTTTGCTGAAAAATGTTCAAGTAAAAAATGTTCAGTTTCTGTGTATATTTCAAATGAATGATTTGAAATGAATCATATTATTCTTTTCTAAAACATATTTTTTACTTACCAGTTGTAACTGCTAGTGCAAGAAAACATAGCTGAAGATACATCTGGAAAAATAATTTGATACCAGTATAGCAATATAATTTTTCCTTCTTGCAATAATAATATAATAATAATAATATAATATATAGAATAATAATAATAATAATAATAATAATAATATAATATTACTAAATAATAAGGTATTTTTAATAACCATAGTAACAAATAAGTGGAAGAAAAAATGAAAAAGGCACGAAAAGCGCCATTTTGGTTAATTATAAGTGCCTCAGCACATTATTCTTAATTTGAAAATTTGAAAAACATGTTTCCAAATTTAATATACCATTAACTATTTTTCTGTGAAGTACACAAAAATACAGCATATTAATGAGTAGTTAAATTTAAAACTCAATTTGTAAATTAAATTAAGCCACAAAATATCGAGTTTTTGCCACAAATTAGGCGTACAGAATGTGCTTTTTGTGGTTCTAATTGTGAATTCGGACTATAATGATAAGTAACATCGTATTTCCTTGCATATCTCCCTTTTTACTTCCTTGTACAAAGTAAAAAGGAAGTATTGTAATAGCGAAAATTTTCAGGGAGCATATTTCAACGAAAATATCCATTTTTACCGCTATCGAATGCAATTTAACGATGGTTTTTGGGACATCTCTACGTAAGAACAGAATTAAAGATTCTTTTCCTCCAAAAAAATTATAAAACTGCTTTAAAATGAATTCTGAAGAGAACGTTTCGTGGTGTCTGTACGTACATATGTATATATGTATGTATCTTGCATAACTCAAAAACGAGTAGCCTCAGAACGTTGACATTTTGCATATAGGACTGCTATAACATGTAAATGTGCACCTCTTATTTTGGTTGCAATCGGCCAAACCAAACGTATATAAATATATTTATATATATATCCAATCTGTTACCTGGCTCAGTGATCTCGGTTTCTTTACTCTAGTATGTTTGTAAATTGTGCATTTTTTTGCTTTAAAAATAATTGAATTATGTTGTTTTTTATGTCTTTAAGAAAAATGCAAGAAATATTTGTAGAATTATCAACAATTTAAAAGCTGTTTAAGTGCGGTTAAGGCTAATTTTTAAATAACATGGCGGACATGTGTGTTTATATTTGAAACAGCAGAATAGTAGATTTGTTGCCAATTTAGAGAGAATAAGCTTCGCAACAACAAAGATAACGCCGCCATTTATTATTACGAATTAAATCATGCTTTATCCTTTCTGGAATTTTTTCGAGGAAATAAGTGTTTAGGATTTACTTTGTAATTTTTAATATAGATATTTTGAATTTTTATGTATTTTTGCCTTGCCGAGAAGTGAGAACTGAATTAATTGAATGGAAAATACTGAATCGTCTGTGAAAAACTGTTTCTTTTTTGTTTTGTTTGCTTAATTTCTTTTATACATCTTTCTAGATTTATTATAGTACTTGAATAGAACATGTGGCAACGATTAGATAATTCTTCAAATGATATAAATTTTGTGCAGTATGAGTTATAATATGAATGAAATATAGCTCTGTTAAGTGAAGGTAGCGGCAGTGTCGTTATGGTAAACAAATATAATGAATTTTAAAGAGTGCATTTATTCTATTGGGGTTTATGCGCTATCGACGAAGTAGATTTAATTCAATTCAATAAGTTTAAATGAAATGCAAAAAAATGCGTATAATTTAATATTCCGTACAAGGAAGTCATGTGGTGTACACATCAGATTTTTTATTTTATTGTCCAAAATCGAGAAATCTAAAAATCTAAAGTTAATGTCTGAAGGAAGCGGTCACACTAAAAAAGTAACAAATAAAATATATTCATTGCTCAACTACAGGTAAATAGCTCAATAATATTTATCTGAAATAAACCTATGTTCTAATAAGAATACATAGTAGTATTAACATTACAGTATCTAATAAGATATCTTCATTTCTATTTCCATGAAAATTTGTGTCTTGTCTGTTCTTAATGTTGTCTCTGCTACTCTTTGGTCTTCTAATCATCCATAAATAATTAGAGAAGGTGAATGCGGAGCAGACGCAGTGAAATTCGTGGCCTGAATGTCAGTTCGTGTTTACTTCTTTGTGAGTCACTAGTTCTTATATTAAGTAGGCAGGAATTTCAACAGTTAAAAGGGAAAGGCTCGTGTAACTTTCTCAGGTAGTTTGCGAAAGTTTGTCTTTTTAGTAAGACGAAAATAAACAGTAAGTGGACGAATCCATTTTAAAATTTAGGACAGCTCATTCTCTGAATGCATTAAGGAAGGAGAAAATCACTCGAATATATTTTAAAATTCCAGAACTTGGAACTAAAATGTTAAAAAAAACTACGCAAGGAAATACAGTACATAGGAGTACATTCCCATACCTGCATTATGATTATTTAAAGCCAACTAGTAATCGTTCGATGCTAAAATCAAATGCTAACTGTTCAATTCATTTATGCAATTCTATTTAATTTTTCATAACGAGAATAAAACTTTCACAAATATTTCTAGCTATATTTCCGATTAATAATTCGCTTCAGCAGTTGGGGGAATCAAACCTGCATGCAACAAACTGATTCCAAAATCCAGACAGAAAAGTATCTCTCGTGATTGCTCGGCACTTCATGATGGACTTCATGAAGGAGTGTATGTCGAAGACTTATTGAAGAACTTCATGAAGTAAAATTTCTATGATTTTAAGAAGGACGATTTTCAAGACTTCATGCATCCTTTCTGAACGAGATCTAAGACTTCATGAAGGAGTATATACCCTTTGGACATATGAAACATATTCTGAAGGAAAAGATTTAAAGAGATGCATCAAAACGGTTTCGTTTGCCACATCATATTGGATTAAGAAATCAAGTGTGACTTCACAATAACGGGTTCTTTATGATGCGTCTGCTTCCTCGTCTGGTTTGGCGTATTTATGGTGGTTTGAAAAGTACAATAGGAAGTATTTCATGTTATATTTAGTTTAGGATCTTTATTTCAGCAGATAAGAAGAAGATATTTCAGCAAGTGAAAGTCAATTTTGAAGACGCGAATTACTAAGGAATACTTTAGAAAGAATTCTAAAGATGGTGAATCAGAAGAGTACATCTTATTAACAGTGGTTCGTTGAACATCCTGTTACGCATTTAGCTGTTGACGACAAAAACATTTTTCTGCAGCCTCAGAAATCGAGCGCACGGACTTTCATGTTGGCGATCCATTAACTTAAATGTATTACACTCGTGTTCCCCTATCTTACAGAAAGTACTACACGGACTGGGTCAGCTGAGAGGCCTCCGTGTTAGGCAGGAGGTGGGTCGTCCAGTCAAAGGTCCCCAAGAGGTACGAAATAGGCCAATTATGCTACTGCTCCAGGCTGCCCAAATCTAAGACGGCAGAAAATGCTCCTACCAGTACTATGCTAGCTAGTACCAGGCCCTTGCAGACTAACCACATTAAATGGAGTACAGAGTAATTACAGCTCTTCTTAACCACAGCCTGGGGAGGAAACAGAAGTTCTTCCACTCTCTCTAGTGGGCAAAACAGCCTGACGGAGTAGACACAGGCTTTGGTCTTTTCACAAGCTCCGGGTCGTCACCATTCCCCTTTCGTCCAGTTCTATGAAACGATCTTCTCTTGTGTTCTAAAATTGCCAGTCTCATAATTGTTATCCCCCCCCCCAGTGCGAGACTGCCGAGGTACAGATCCGACCGAGTATAATAAATGATTGCTGGGGGTTAACTCAGGAGTGTCAAGCTGGCGGTCTGCGGGCAGCATGAAGCCATTAAGTAATTTTATGCGACCTGCGAAGACATTTCAACAATGTGTTTGCAGCAATTGCGATATTATAAAGATTTTAAGATTTTAGTTATTCGAAGTTCGAGTTCATTTATTTTCATTTCCATTTAAAACGAACGTGAACAATGCACCAGAAAATTTGTAAATGCAGTTAATTAATTTACAGTGTAATATGAATCTTATTCAAAAATTTCAAGATACAGTTTTCATTAAGTTTTACTCGTACTTGTCAAAGAAATAAATTAACTCAGTTACGAGTTTCTATACTAAGTTGTCTTATTTGGCAGAATATTTACATATAAACAGCTTTTTCTCACAGTTGGAGACTGATTAGGGAAGAATCCAGTTGACGGATTAGCATCTATAATCCATGATTAGTTTCTCTCCAAGGCTACAAACTTTATCAGAACTTAATACCATCAAATGTCATGCTACAGTAAGAAATAAAGAGTTTACAATTACTTGCCCACGAGCGGCCAAACGTTTTACCGCTTGGCCGCTGGTAATTCGGTCAGGGCTCGAATCCCGGCGAATAGGCCGGGATGCTACATGGGAGTTAATCGTAGTTTTACTCATGTGTGACGTGGATACGAATCAGTTTCCCTTCAAATACCCCACGAGGTATTTCTAGCAATTATTAAAAGATTAATTACACATGCTAAACTTATATTTGAAAGGAATGTTTTATTATTTTTATTTACGTGTTCCACCCTAAGACACTACACGGAAGGGAGGGATAACAAAACTCCGGTGGTACGGAAGCATAAAATAATCTATAATGTTTTTCTGAAGTGTTTTTCTATAGCTCCTTTCTTTGAATTCTGAAAGCATAAAGTAGTTATTTAACTCACCTTCAGTTCTTCCTCTCATTTAGGTGGTCCTAGAGAGGTTGGGGGTGAAATCCTTGAAACTTCCTTTTATACGTATTCCTTTTATACGCAGCGCAAGTGTTACATTTGAAGAATATGAAATACAAGTAGCTCAGATCGAGACCTGCATAAATTCTAGACCAATTTATGTTTTGTCAAATATTTTCTCCCTCCTTTTTGCGTGCCTTCGTGGTGTAACGGTAGTACATTCGGTGTGTATTCGAGAGGTCCAGGTTCGAGTGCCGGCGAAGGCGTCGCACATTTTTCACGTCACCCACATAAAAAAAAAAAAAAAAAAAAAAAAATCCTAATGACTCTACAATCCTAGTGATTTAATGATCTCTCTCTTCTCTCTGTTGAACGCTTTGTTATAGAAAAGGTATTAATTTCCCTGCCTGAGCAAATTTGCAACAAAATTTCCTCTATTATAGTATCAATAAATTCGACAAATGGAAAATTGTGCAAGGAATGGTTCAGCATAATGAAGATAGCAACTTATATTTACGAATGTATAGACGTATAGACGTTCGTAAATATATAGTGTGTGTGCGGCACGGATGCACTCTAAATACGCGGCGAGTCCTCTCGAGAGGTTGCTGGTAGGGGAAGAGAGACCCTCGGACCCGTGCCCCCCGCAGTGCTCAATGTCAAAACTGGGGCCGGAACTGAGCTAAAGTTTGGCTGTCACCTATATACAGGGTTGCCACTCTAACAGGAGAATGAAATTCGCTGACTTTTCCAGGTTTTCCAGGTGTGTTTTAAGAAAATTCCAGTCTGTCCACGTAATGCATGTTGGCTGCGTTAAGAGGTAAATTAATTATGGTATTACTTAAAAACACACAAATTTTCCAATTACGTATGACTTATATATAATTCCCAAAGCATTACTATTATAACTATAATAGGAGTTGTTTTCTCCACTGAAGATTGAGATTAAAATCTGCTCAATCTGTATTAAAAAAGTCGGTACTTTTCCGTTTCGCCGGCGCAAATCTCGCCAAGCAGACTTTATTGGCGACAACATACAGTATACACATAAAAAATATTTAAAAAAATGTTAGTTTTAAGAATTCTTTTTTTAAAGGCATAAACATTTTAATATCGCTTAAAATTTTATAAAAAACCGATAAATAAAGACAATAAATTTGTAAAAAGACATTCATTTAAGAATTTACTACGCTTTCATGGTTCATCAGCATCCTGATTCGCCGGTTCATATCACGTGACCCCAAGCGATCTCATCTCACGTAAACTACTCTCTACAAAAATCTAATGCTCTCAGTAATTATCTACATTAATTTCAAGTTAAATCTTAATTTGGAACACAAGTTTAAATGCAAGAAATATTTCAATTCGTACGAATAGCTTACTCAGAAATTATGTAAAACTGCAGTACTTTACTTCGCTAATGCATTCTCATTAGAATCGGTGAATTTAACTCTTGACTTTACCTTTTCTATATTTTCGGCTTCGGGTAAGCGCTGTGATTGCATCCTAATTGACTTAATTACCGAAACTGGCCTTGGACATAAAACTGAACTATCTGATAAAAATTCTATGTAATTATATGTCAGTATTGAAAGAAACAATCAATCTGATAAGAAAAAGCTGCGACTTGTTTTGAAAATGAGGCGTAAAAGGTTACCAGCGAGAATATTCCGTTTGGCATCGGTTGCACCATTATTAGCGACTTTATCGCTTGCGCGGTAAAACGGAAAAGTACCAAAAAGTCTTTTTTTTTTTTTTTCAGATATTTTGCAGCTAAACAAAAGAAATAAATCTATTTAATGATATTTTTAAATAAATTCAGGTATTTTAGAATTATTAAGCAACATACATAAGCAAAAAATATGTGCAAAAAATATAATTTTGGTTAATTTTCGAATTCCCTGACTTTTTCAGTTTTCCCGGTTTTCCAGGTAGCGTAGCAACCCTGTAGATAGTGCTCAAGGCAACAGGTGCATTTGACTCCTTGCCACGATGAATTTCATGGGCTTGCGCTGACATTTGTCAGACAAGTCAGGTTCATAATAACAACAACAACAATGCTTTTGAGATTTCATGCCAACGCAATCGAATTACGTGTATTTCATGTGTTTAGAAACGTAACGTAACTACTGGATGAAGCATTTGAAGTTTTTTTTAATTGGCAGCTATATGGCTATTTCAAAGGAAATTATTTCCTATACTGTGAACGATGATTAGAATAAAACACTTTGCAATGGGATTTCTTTTTGTTCTTGTTTATAAGCAATTTATTTTTGTCAGCCTGCCTCCTGATATCTAATGTGTTACTGTCAATGTTTTTACTATCAGCTGCTTCAGCTCTTGAGTCAGATTTCGAGCTTTGAATTGCTTTTATAGAATGTTGTTGTAAAGCTGTTCCTTTCGTGGTAATAGCTCTGAATTCTTTCTGGTTGTTCCTGGCTTCAAAAGAAGTGATTAAATCTTTCAAAACTCTCAGAGCATCATAGCATTTTTCGTTTTTCTGATTCATTTTCTGCGTGTTTGTTAGATCTAATAGTTCTTTTGAAGCATAGGTTGGGGAATTACTTTGATTAACAGACCTTTTAATGGCAACAGCTTTACTATCAAGTTTCTCACCACAGATTTCCATACAGTTAGTCTTCGGCGAAGATGGAGTATAATCTGAAATGTCAGAATTATACTTAGCGGGAAAAACGTTTTCTGGCATAGTAAAGATGCTAGCGAAATTTGATGCAGTTGTTCTGTTTTGATTAAAATTAGAGTATAGATTTTGAGCTTCACAAGTATTTACCTTATTCAATGCTTCAATATTATTATTTTTTACCATCAGTTTCATTTCCGGTCTACCGCTACTTCCTAAGATTTCGTTTCCTATTTCCGAAGCTTTTTCTAAATAATTTCCTTTTTCAAGTTTTACCAGAGTTCCTTGCTTCATGTCACCTGATTCTTTATCATTCATCAGTGTTGTAGATGGAATTTCGGCTTTTGTTTTATACCTATATTTCTTATTCGAGTCTTTAGTGTTAGCTTCTGCTTTATTAGATTCAATTCGTACTTTCGTCTGTAGCACGTTTTGCAAAGCCTGTACATTTTTTGTACTTAGTTGGTTTTGTTCTTTAACCGTGTTAAACTGGTCTTCTGCAAAAATGGCTTCGTCTTCTGTAGAAGCGATACTGCCATCCATAATTTTAAATTTCTTTTCGAGATTACTTTGTTTATCGGCAGAGGTATTTACTTCAACCTGAATTCCTTCTTCTCTAAAATTATTGCATTTTTCGAGCCAACGATTTCTCGCCTTTAATAATTCCAAATGTTTTCCCATTACGCTATTCTCCTTCGCCTTATTCTGCAATTCAGTTTTCAGGTTCTCAGTTTCTTCTAGTGCTTCGGAATGTTTCTCCGAAATTTCCTCTAACTTTTTCTCACAGCTTCTTAATTTTTCTTCTAATATTCCCTTTTCTTCTTTTAACTTTCTGGCTTCTAGATCTTTATCAGAAAGCAAAGACTTGAGATTCTGTAATTCTTGACACTGAAGATCACATTGCTTTGTTAATGACTTCGACTTAAGGGCCACTGCGTTAGGATCTATAATAATTGATTGACATTTGTGCTTTTCAAGTTTCAATTTAGAGCTACTTTTCAAGTAATTGGGATAAACTGATCTCGAAGTACATTTATCATTACTATTGAAAGTATCTGCACATTCCTTTCGGAGATGATATGGTCTAACAAAGATTCCTCGTTTGGGCGGACATTGAAAATACTGTATACCATTCATTCCGCCATTATTCTTACCTTTAGGTTCATCTAATATAATTCCAGCCCATATACCTTCAGAGAATTCAGTATTACCTATAAAAGCCACAACACCTTTATTATTTTTTCCTAAGATTTTAACCCTTTCTCCTAATTTGAACTCTTCCATTGAAGTTTGATTTACAATAAAAACGGATTACAAGTGAAAAAACATTAAACTAATTTACAGCAAATAAACAATTTCAAGAAAACGAAACTTGTTGCCACTACATGAAAGTTTCTTTTGAAATGTGTCTACAATGTATTTTTCTAGTTTTAGTAAGTTATAGTAACGATTATTTCATTTGTGTTAATTTTTTTGTTTTAAAAATCGGATTTATTTTGGGGATAATTTACTTTGCTTCTCTTAAAAATGTTTTTATGTTAAACTTCCCATATGTTAATGAAAAAATCTTTGAGTTTCCTCTAAATTAATATACTTTATAAAATGTGTTTCTGTTGCACTGGTTTACACAGAATCTGTTGCCAAAATATTTTTAACATTCATAGCTTAGAAAACGATATAAATTTCGTTTACCTCAGTGACTTAAGTATAGTTAATCTGAACAGACAAGGTTATTCTTACTCATCTTCTCTTGCGGAATATATATTATTAATGTATTTTAAACCTTTGACAAATATTATAAAATCAGATTTTAATTTCTCTGGTTCATGTCTTCACGTTAGTATTATGAAGCATACAGGCTTCCTAAGTAATTTTTCCGAATTTTTACCCCAAACATTGTACTTATTTTCTGGAAGTTTTACGTTTTTTAACACACCAATGTAAAAACATTTTAAACAGTCAAATACGCCCAAAGGGGCGTATTTTTCATTTGCACATACATACACGTTTCGAGAGCATTTAGGGTAAACGCACTTTGATCTAAAAATAATTAAAAACATGCATATCTTTAGAATTCCCGATAAACAGTCTCGTGAGCTGGAAATAAAAATATTTAATTTCGTACAGTGTGTTGCGCTGCTCGCTTTGAAATCGTTGAAATTTCTTAATCAAAATTCATTAAAGTAAAAACATATGGATACTTTTCCGTAAATAATTAATAAACCAATTTCTTGTCCTTAAAAATCGTTTTTATTTCTAGGTAACAAACTGCTTACAAGGTTATACATAATCATACTTATTTACAAGGTGTCTACAAAGTCCCTGAACAACTTTAACAGCTTGTAGTTTCGGAATGGAACAATTTATATCTTTGGTACTGGTCACACCTTCATAGACAATGTTAAAAACTGGAAAAGTCACTTTAGTGTGAACTTTTAAACAGTCAGAAGTTTCGTCTTGCTGAAAATTGATTTTAACGGGACCTTCTAGTTGTGAGCAGATGTAATTAATCATTGTATGGAGGTACATTCCACCTGTTATTATTTTTTCATGGGTAAAAAGTGGTCCTAAAATATTGTCATGCAGAACACTACACCAAACATTTACTTTTGGGCTGTCCAAAGATTTTCGAAGTGCCAAATCTTTACATTATATGTAAATAAACCAAAACAAATTGTTAGGTTTGTTTTGCCAAACAACTCTTTTTATGCAACGAAAATAATACCAGAAAATGTTTTAGCACTACCTGTTACAGGCTGCTCACAATAATAGGGTCAATTAGTTCAGAAACTTTGTGAACACCCTATATATCTGTTCCATTTCGGCCAATTTCTGTTATATTATAATGCATAATCTTAAGCCACTATAAAATATTAGTTTTGAAATTGTTTGTTAATAGTTTCTGGTTTCATTTAAATTTAAAACTTCATAAGAATCTCGAAATCATAAGAAGATATCCCATCGCATAATTTTAGGAAAGCAACTAAAGGTCATGATTTAATGTTCATGTCCTAAAAATTGAAAATTCAGCAACTAAAAGCTACTATTATAATGCTATCATTTCTTAAGCTATCTGGAGGTCATACGGGGACTTTGGTTTGCTCCGTTATGTTGTAACACGTTTTTAAAGACCTTTAATTTTTACTTCCCGCAAACCTATATACATAGTTAAGACAGGTTATGCTTTCGGTCCAAAAATTCAATAGTGTTGTAAGGTATATTTTAATTTTATAACGGTTATTTTAATTTAATTGTGCTTTCCTATCTCTCCTCGTTTGAACTTGCAACTCCCTACCAGAATGAGTTTTTAGAATCGCAATGAATATAAATAAGTAAGAAGTAGTATTTAAGGAAGGTTGATATTTGCCAGCTAGTTTAAATTAAGGACCAACTATGTTGGATTGGTGTTAGCTTCGGCTAGGTCTCTTAGCTACATCTAGTTAGTTCTTATTTCTTATTTTGATTTCAAACCCGAATGGAGGCTTTGCTGTAAGCCCGAAGAAAGGGGCCGACTGTTCATCTTATTTTGAGTGAAATAAAGGGTAGTTAACCCTTCTTGAGTCTACGTCTTTAATTATTTGAACTACGTCTTTAATAAGTCGCTTAATAGTTCATTAATTTCCTCTACGTTTGCTTTAGCCAAAAAGAGTGAGGAAAACTACAGTTTGATTTCAGTGAGTAAGTACCAATTAGGATCTTCACGATATTTTTTTACAATAATGTCTTTGTATTTTTTCTTATTATTTTTCTGTGTTCTGTGTAAGGCATTTTTCGTGCTCTATAACTCTTATACCAAACTTTAGAAAATTTCTATTTTCCGTATTTAATGTTTCTGCAATCATTTGAAGAGACAATTATGTTTTGGGTAAAATTGGACAACCGGAGGACTTACTTGAGGTCTTTAATGAAACCTATATTAAATCTAAACTACATTAAACGATATCAATTTAGTATTTGTGACCTTTATATCAATGGGAACAGCATATATTTTGCCTAAAGCTGATAAATCGGAAGTGATACTTTATTTGAAGATCTGAACAGATTTTCTTTAAAAAAAAACACATCATGATATAATTTTAAATCCAAAATATAACGAGAATTTTTTACTGATACCTAAATATCATGAGGATATACTGCAGATCAAAACGAATTTAGATTTTTTTTTCTATTACAGAAATAAAACTGAATAAGGTTAAATTAGTGTTTCGCATGAAAGTATTTATTTCAAACATATTACCAACACTTAATTTTCTTCAACTAAAATCCAAGTAAATTCTACGTTATTGAACTACTGATAAAATACAATTTTTGGTAAAAAAGAAGGGCTGAACATTTGATTATGCTGGTATAAATTTGGAAAAGCCAATTTTTTTACAGTATCATTTATACTTATAAAATGTAATCCAAAATTTCGTATTACAGACTTTTGTATTTATTGGAGAAACAAATTAGATGTTGTTTACAAACGATCATGCGGGAGTGATACTTTACAAACTTCGTTCAAGAGGCCGATTTTGGCTAAAAATCTTAATTTATGTTTATTTTCCGTCTTTAAAGGCCACAATCTTAGTTATCAAAAACAACTTTTCTTTTCTTGATATGGTTATTAGAAATGGAGGTATACAAATTTTTCTGCGGAGACAACAAACCGGAAGTTATCCTTTGCCGCAGTGAAAGTTTAAAGAGTAAATTGAAAATGCAATTTTCGCCCTTTTTTATGTTATTTGTGAACTAAATCATTTTTAGTATATCAGTTATTCTGAAGAACCTAGCAAAGTATTTCTATTATGCATTTTCTCCTTTTCCTTTTGGCAACATGAATAGTTGTGTACATGTCACTTAATGACAATCTGAGAACTTTAAATGCGAATTTTTGATATTTTCTTTGTATGATTTATGTTCACAGCAACTATGATAACTCTAAAAGTTCCTTATAGAATCACTTGAAATTTTCTACACAGAGTCTGTGCACTATTATACATAATGTAGACTAAAAATTGAAAGACTGGCATTAGAGAATTTAAATTATGTAATTTCTTCTTCATGAATTTTTAAAAATTTTTGTGTGTTGACTGAAATATTTCGTCATACATTACTAGTTGAATAAATATTTTCTAATTTTCTACTTTCTTTCTTCTGTCTGAGGAATTTATTATTCCTCGTGAGCGTACTTCAGTTTACATTTAAATTTGTAATTAGTATTTCCTTCTTGTAAATACTGAAAAAATGTTTTATTTAATATTTGATGCAATCTTTTAATATTACAGGTATAACGACTGCATTCTTTTACCTCATATTATAGCATGGACATAACAGAATTTTGTAATTATATTATTGAATTAGGCTGTAATTATATTTTACATATTTCTTGATTCCACAAGCAAATACAAAACACATGTCACATCGGAAAAATAAAAACATGTTCAAACATGTAGCAAACTATAAATTTTTTTTCTGACATTAAAATAAAATGTTCTTGTTTTTCTTGCAAATTCTCTTACATATCTGTATTATTTGTATTACAATATTTTTAAATAAATATGCGATTTTAATTTTCTAGGCTATATTTACAGAAACAAAGTTGACAAAATTTTGACGTTTTCGTATTCACATTTATTTGTACGTTTCACATTATATTTAATCAAAAATTTACAATATCTTGTGATGCAAATTTACTTTGATTGATGAAAACAAATGTTCTTGTATTCAAAAAAAAGTTATGTTATTATTCGAAACTTAATTATAACTAAATTTTATGAAGCTTTTCAGCTTTAATACATTTTCTATTAGAAAGTACATAAATCTTTTTAATCATTTTCAGTTCTAAGACATGTATGTATATTTTGTACATTAACAATCTAAGGATTAAGAAAACAGTTCGATTAAAATTACAAAGACCATAGATTATTTTAAACATTTAACCATTTTTTAAATCTTTAAAATCTAAAAATGAATCTTAAAACTTATCATGTAAAAAGTGCGCACATGAGAGACAGAATCAAAAACTTAAAATATGTTTACCTCGCATATTGTAACGCATATTTGCTGTGTCTTTTAATCTTACATTAGCAAAACCAGTTTTAATGATTAACTATCTAAATAAAAACGAAATTTCATTTTTTTAAGAAAGGGGGAAGAAAACGAAATTCAATTTTTTAAAGAAATTTGTAAATTTGGCTATTCTGAGTTTCCTTATCATAAAATAGTAACATTTTCAATTTGATTACAAATTTCTGTGAAGTATCAAGCTTAACTCGAGTTTTCTTAAAAACATTTTATAAGAG